CCTGGAGAGCCTTGGGCTTCATGAATCGGTGAGCTCCCTTGGCTCCAGCCACAAAAGCTGCCTGCGCCCACTGCCTCCAGCTCTGCATCACGGCCTTCTCATGCTTGGCCTCAGCATCGGAGGAGATACTCAGGATGCGGTCGACCTGCTGCTCGAAGTCTGCCTGCGCTAAGGCAAGTATGCCACGCGAGAAGAAGCCGACGGCCTCGGCGTCCAGGTGCGGCCAGACTCCCTTCCTCCGCCAGATTCTCTGGAAGAAATTCTCGCACTCCAGCAGGTGGCGCGCCGCCTTGGAGTGCACGGCGTCCCACGATAGGTCCTCGCCTGCACGTCGCGGGGGCTGGTGTCGCTGAGCTCTCGACCGAGGCCGACCACCATCGGAGGAGAGACCAGCCACTCCGACGACCTCCGCAGCAGGGGGTGCACCATCGCCCAGGCCAGGCACTCCGTCGACGTGCGCCTCGCCGACGCTGCCGAGCTCGAAGACCTGCTGCGGGCGAAGCTGGAGCACGAAGCTCTGCAAGGCCACTCGAACCCTCCTGAGGTGACGAGCCCAGCGCGCAGCCTGCGCCCAGGCCTGGGTGTCCGCCGACCTCCTGCTCCAGGCACCTTTCACGACAGGGTGAAAACTCGCCAGCTCGAAGGTCGGGGGGCCTGGCACCGTGGAGTACCCCGCCACGTCCTTCACGAAGTCGTAGCGGCCCCGCAGCTCGAACTCGATGCCGCTGAGCACGACGTCCCAGGCCCTGGTGATGCCCTCGCTGTCCGACGCGCTCTGGATGATCGCCAAGATCGGGTCCCAGTCGGGGGGGAACCTCGCGCACCCCGCCGCAGGCGGCCTCCGAAAGCCGCGTGGCTCGACAAGCCTCCTGACCTTCGCGTCAAAAGCCGTGGCGGAGAGCTCCATGGTCACTGGTAGATGCGGCCACGTCTCCGCGTCGACTACCACTGGTTGCCGAACGCGAGGCAGCAAACGGCAAGAAACCATGAACATGTCAATGGTGCGGCCAGGAAGGCTCTGAAGACAAGTCGGCTCCCTGGGCGCCAGCACCACGCCATTGGCCGACTGGAGCCAGGGCAACGGGCCGAGCTCGCCTACCTCCATGTTGAAGTCGCCTCCTACGATCCACGGAACGCCCATGGCCTCCAGCGACCTGACATACTGGTACAGCTTGCACAGCATGGCCAGGTTCTCGGGCGACAGCTTGACGTCCACAATGAAATAGCACGACAGCATGACGAAGCCGCCCTTCACCCCAGCGTGGACATGGGCCGCCATCATCCTGCCTTCCTGCAGCACGTGACTGTCCAGGCCTGGGGGTTTGGTGATGACCACCCGCAGCGGGGCCAGCACCGCAACCCCGCCTCTGCTGCCAACTCCCTGCCCAGGTAGGGCGGGCTCCCATATACCATGGTACCCAGCAGCTCTTACTTTATTCTGCAGCTTCGCCAATGCATCGCCCTCGGCCTTGGCATGATGTTCCTGCACCGCGATGCATAAACTCGAGCACGTGGGCAGGAAATCGACGAGCGGGCCGCCCGAGGACACGTTCACGGTGGTGATACTTGAAACCGAAGCCATGGTGCGACAGAGGAGGACGAACCACACAAGACACGCAAAACATCGCCGTGGAGCCATGCTAGGCAGGGGTAAGCCTGGGCTTCTTGACCTTGGCACCCCAACGCATGAAGATCTCCTCCAGCCTGTGCTTCTCGCCCCCAGCCGCAACGACTTCCTCCATGAACTCAGGGTCGTCGGAGAAGGCAGATGGCTGTGGTGTGCGAGGCGCTGCCGCGTCGTCCTGCCGCTCGGCCTGCTCGACGTCGGGACCAGCCTCGGCCCCAGCATCAGCCTGCGCCCTCTGGGCAGCCAACTTTGCCGCCTCCTCCTCCTGCAACCTCTGCAGCTCCTGGAAGCTCGCCGTGAGGCTGCCCGACAGCTGGTGATCGGCGCCCAGGCTCTGGAGCAAGATCCCGAGGCCCTCGAGCGTGGCACCAACCCCCTTGATCGGCTCGTCGAGCGACGCCTTGTCGCCAGGCGTCGGAACCTGCCCTTGAAGCCTCTTGCGCTCCTGGTCCAGCTCCTCCATGCTAGCGTCGAGGGCCGCCAGCTTGTCCCGAGTGAGCCGTTCCTTCTCCTGCAGGTCGCGCATCTGCGCCTGCAGCCCATCGAGCTTGGTCTGCTGGTCGTCGCGCAGCTTCTGCAGCCTGGTGAACTGAGCTCCCATCTCGCGCAAGCGCTGTCCGAGCGGTCGGGACTCCGCCACCTTAGCACGCAGCTCGGCCTGCTCGGCCAGCAGCTTGTCGCGCGTGGCCACGACCGACGGCTCGGTGATGCCCTTGAGCTTGCCGATGAGGTCGCCGACCTCGCGTAGCCTGTCCTTGGCGACGGACTCGGGGCCGTCTCCGTCCGCGGCCGGCTCCATCTGCACGTCCTCCCCGCCAGGCGGCGGCCTCTGCACAGCGGCAAGCCGCTTGCGGGCCTCGGCGAGCTCGGACTTGAGCTTGGCCACCTTGACGGAGTCGTCCCAGTAGCCGTTGCCGCTGCCGCCCTGATTGCCCTTCCTCCGCTGGGAGGGGGCCGAGGGCTGGCGCACGCTGTGGAAGACCAGTCCCTTGCCCAGCTTGCACTTCGCACACTGCCGCGCCTCTGCATGATTCCACCACGGTCTCCCCGAGGGCCCGCAGCAGCTCTTGCAGTACCAAGGAAGCGCCTGCTCCGAACGGTAATGCGGCGGTGGCATCTCCACGACACCAGGCAGCAGCACACACGGTGGGCCGTGGCGGCGCGATCTGGAAAAAACTGGGTGTGGGCGCCCAACTCCCACGGTGAAGGCGAGCGGTGGTCTGGCCGCGGACTAGCGGTATCCGTGCGGTCCCCAGGGGAACCAATCATCTTGAGCCAAAATGGCTACGGAGGAGGAGGAGGAGGAGGAGGAGGAGGAGGATGGAGAGGAGGAGGAGGAGGAGGAGGAGGAGGAGGAGGAGGAGGAGGAGGAGGAGGAGGAGGAGGAGGAGGAGGAGGAGGAGGGGAGGAGGGCCCTTCCCGGCAGGAGGAGGGAGGAGGGGGAGGAGGAGGAGGAGGAGGAGGAGGAGGAGGAGGGAGGAGGAGGAGGAGGGAAGAGGAGGAGGAGGAGGAGGAAGGAGGAGGGAGGAGGAGGAGGAGGAGGAGGAGGAGGAGGAGGAGGAGGAGGAGGAGGAGGAGGAGGAGGAGGAGGAGGAGGAGGAGGAGGAGGAGAGGGGGCCTTCCCCGGCACTGGCGTCTCCTCCCGAGGCGTTTCTTGCCGGTCCCGGGGCCCGGGAGAGGCCGCCGGAGGCCGCAGAGCAGCGGAGGCCGGAGGCCCGGAGGCGTGATCTTTGGCCACCACGCGAGGGGATCTGGGGTCCCAGCGACCCAGAGGTCCGACGTACAGTCGGGGCGTTGACCTAAGGAACCCTAAATAAGGAACGAGGCCCCTTTTTCCATAAGTTAACCTTCGATTTCCTGCCGAAAACATAGGGAAAGCCTGAGGCAAGCTGTGAAACACTTAAGGAACGCGGAGCCCCTCCCCAACGAAAAGGGTTCCTTCTTCAGGGCCCCGACTGTATTGAAAATTGTCACTCGTGGGCAGAAGGTGCGCGCCTCCACGCGCACGGGCCCGATTCCTTCCGCCTCTGCAGCTGGAGGCCGTCTCTGTCGAAACCTCTGGTTTTTCGCAGATCTCGGCCCCCTGGGGGCCCTCGCTGGGCCCCGGGACCGTCAAACAACGACTCGGGATGAAAAGCCGGTCCTGGGGGGATGGGTCGAGACGTCCTGGGGCCCCGCATGGAAAAAAAACACGGCGTCGGATCCCTGGGGACGCCGCCCCCGCCCCCCCCTGACCTTCCAGAGTGCTAAAAAGTAGCCCTCTCAGAAACCCTTACAAAGGTAGCCCTCAAAGTGCTAAAAAAAAGTTAGACCTCATAAAAAAGAAGCCCTCTCAAAAACCCTTCCAGCGTGCTAAAAAGTAGCCCCTTAAAAGTAGCCCTCGACCTGTTGACGTGTCTGGGCGTTCTATATATATATATATATATATATATATATATATATATATATATATATTGTACAACAAACACAAAAAACGACCGGATTTCACATGTCGAGGTCTTGGGCCTATGTTTTGGCCCTCGAGGGGGGCCTGGGTCCTCGCCTCCCTCCACCGGCGCCGCCACCGACGGCGGCGGCCTCTCGCCCTCGCTTCGCTCGCTCGCTCGCGCGCTTGAGCATCGCTTAACCGGTTTCCATCCCCACTGGCGTGGCCTGGGCCGCACTGGCCGATTTACCCCCGGGATAGGGGATATCGGCGGTTCCCTTCGGGCTTCGATGGGGCACATCCCCAACTGGGGTGGTGGGATGGTGGGGATCGGGACGGGGGGATGGGAATGGGGATCGGGATTGGTTAAACGATACTGAGCGCTCGCGCGCGCGCGAGAGGCGGAGCCTCGCAGGCGCAACGCCACCGAATCTCTGCGCGGTGGGCCGCGCGTCGGCGGCGGGGCGCGCGCGCGCGGCCGCGCGAGGGCGCGCTCGTAGGGGGCGATAGGGGAGGAGGAAGCATGGGCGGGCCAGGAGAAGGAGAAGGAAGAGGAGGAGGAGGAGGAGGAAGAACCAGGAGAGGGCCACGAGGAGGAGGAGGTGGAGGAGGAAGAGGAGGAGGAGGAGGAGGAGGAGAAAGAGAGAGGAGGAGGAGGAGGAGGAGGAGAAGAGGAGGGGGAGCATAATAGCTAGGAGGAGGAGGACTAGGAAGAGGAGGAGGAGGAGGAGGAGGAGGAGGAGGAGGAGAAAGAGGAGGGGGAGGAGGAGGAGGGAGGAGGAGGAGGAGGGGGAGGAGAAGGAGGAAAAAGGAGGAGGAGCAGGAGGAAAAAGGAGGAGGAGGAGGAAAAGGGAGGAGGAGGAGGAGGAGGAGGAGGAGGAGGAGGAGGAGGAGGAGGAGGAGGAGGAGGGAGCGTAAGGTGCCCCGCCGCGTGCGCAATAGGCGCGGTCAGGGGCGGCATGCAGACACGGCCTGCCGGGTGGGGGGGGGGCACCGTCGTCGCGCTGCCTCTGCGGTAGAGGGAAGAGAACTATGCACATGCACCGATTCTGGCCAGGCCCATCCTGAGCCCAGGATCGGTGCATACGCCCTCCCACCTTGGCCAGGAAGGCATATGCACCGTTCCTGGGTCAAGGATGGGCCTTGCCAGGATCAGTGCATGTGCATAGTTCTCTTCGCGAAACACCGAGCCCCTCCCCAACGAAAAGGGTTCCTTCTTCAGCGCCCCGACTGTAACATCCGATTCAGATCCGGAGCGGAGCGAACCCAAGAGGGGGAGAACCCAAACCAACGAAAAAGTTACAGTTAATTGCGGGGGTGATGGGGAGAAAGAGGTGGATTCAGAAGAGGAAGAGGAGGTTTACAGTCGGGGCGTTGACCTAAGGAACCCCAATTAAGGAACGAGGCCCCTTTTTTTCCCATAAGTTCAACCTCGGTTTCCCGTGGAAGACCTCAGGAAAGCCCGAGGCAAACTCTGAAACATTCAAGGAACACCGAGCCCCTCCCCAACGAAAAGGGTTCCTTCTTCAGCGCCCTGACTGTAACATCCGATTCAGATCCGAAGCGGAGCGAACCAAGAGGGGGAGAACCCAAACCAACGGCAAAAGGTACAGTTAATTGCGGGGAAGATTGGGGAGAAAGAGGTGGATTCAGAGGAGGAAGAGGAGGTTTGTGTTGCATCCTCGAGGGACCTTATCTGCCTCGTCGCGGCCCTATCCGCGTCGCATCCGTGCCGGATCCATGTTGGACTCGTCGGATCCGTTTCGAACCCGTGTCGAATCCGTGTCGAGTCTGCGTCGAGTCCGTGCCAGATCCGCGTCGACTCCGCATCGTGCCCGCGTCGGGCACAACCAGAGGCACCAACTGTTTGGGGACAGGCGAAGTCCCCCGAATATGCTACGCAAGATCAGGAGGAGGAGGAGGTGGTGGTGAAATCCGCACTGCGAGCACACTGCAGTGTGCCATGCCAGCATGCGCTTGCCGTGCGCAAAGCACTGGCTATTAATGCCCCGCGGTGCCACATCGATGGCCCCCCCCGTAGGCGGCGCGCCAAGGGGGGGAAGTGAGAAGGGGCAGGCATTCCCAGAAAGCTCGAAGGTCCCCTGGACTTCCGAGAGGTTCTCCAAGCCTTCCCCGAACACGCACGCAGCAGGCTCCTCAGAAGGCGCGAGGGCGTGTGAGAAGTCTCGCCGCCTTCCGAGAGGGCCTTCTCCTGCTCACTTCCCTCCCCCCTCGCTCGCCGCCGACCCTGGCACAAGGCCGGGCGGGGGGCGCCGAGGCTCGCCGGGGCGGGTTGCCAGGCACCGGTGCCCAATGGGCCCACGCCCTTCGAAGACACGTCTAGCATGGCCTCCTCAGGCGCGCGAGGGTAGGGCTCGAGGAGAAGGAGGAGGGGAAGGAGGAGGACAAGGAGGAAGGAGAAGGAGGAGAAGGAAAAGGAGGAGGAGAAGGAGAAGCAGGAGGAGGATGAGAAGGAGGAGAAGGAGGACGAGAAGCAGGAGCTATGGAGCTATGGCTATTGCGACCAAGTCAACAAGCATGAGACTCTTATACATCGAGGTGACTGACAGACACGCGCGTGCATGCACAAACGATGCGAGTCGGGCATACGAATATGACCTTCAATTACCTGCTGCGGGACACCGTGCCACCTCACGAATCACATGTTCACCCTATTGCCATGCCCACCAACACACGAAGACATTGTGACCAAAAAGCCCACTGAATGGCCAGACAACAGCAAAAGAGAGACACCCCCTTCATCGTGATGCTGAAGGGACTCAACATGGACTTGCACCTGCGCGCCACAAGCAGTGCGCGACGATGGTTCCAGAACACCTGACCAACCTGCCAGCGCAATCTGAACAGCGCCAGGCCGTAAACTACCCTGCGCATATCTCTCGAAATGCATGCGCCCAGACCAAAACAAGAAGGCAAAATGAACACAAAGCTTGCCACATATGCAGCGAGCAAACTCATGTTCCTCCACTTGACTGTAAGGTGTGTTGTGCCGACAGCGATAAACAATAACATCCATCCAAGCTGCACAACAAGATGACGGGATACGCCCAGCCGACAGGGGGACGATTCGAAGGGCTCGAGGCCCGCGGCACGTCCTCTCGCCTGCCGACTGGGACGGACCGTGCTGAAGAACAGTAGGAAGGGATACAACATGCCCAGCCTGCACCTTGCCATCACGAAAGCGACATGGGCGAAGTAAGACAACACCGCATGTGGCCAGCACCGACAAAGTACTGCTGAGGAAAAAAAACAAACGCCGAGCCTGACTTCTCCCCCTCTTAGTCACCCGTGGGGCCCGCCTGTCCAGAATCGTGGAACTCCAGAAGCAAGCTCGCCCAACCGGGGTGTCGCAAGATCGCGACGGCAACGCGGAGGGAAGGGCATGCCTAGCAACCAGGGAGCCAAAATCAAATGGCAGCGGTCGCTCGGAGCCCCTGATCTTGGGACGAGAAGGAGTAGGAGGAGAGGGAGGAGGAGGAGGAGGAGGAGGAGGAGGAGGAGGAGGAGAAGGAGGAGGAGGAGGAGGAGAAAAAGGAGGAGAAGGAGGAGAGGGAGGAGGAGGAAGAGAAGGAGGAGGACGACGAGGAGGAGAAGGAGGAGGAGCAGAAGGAGGAGGAGGACGACGAGGAGGAGGACGACGACGACGAGGAGCAAGAGGAGCGGCGGCACACGCATCAGGTGGGCGCATACCTTTTGCATCAACGGGCCTTTGGGCTGTCCTTTCTCTGGCATGCCTGGGCCCATACCTGCTTCGCCCACATGGGTCTCATGTGTAGGCCTCTGCGCCTAGATCGGTCACGCTATTTGCATCACCTCCATTAGTGATCGTCGAACGACTGCTACGATCGCAGATCGATGTTGGCCCGACTTCAACAAGGTTGGTACAACACTGCAACACCCCAGCCGCACTCCGCAAGACAAACTAACAGAAACAAATCCAGGGCTTCGGAGCTGGTTTGGTTACATACAAGAGACAGTCCTAGAAACAATCTACAAATTTTGTTTTCGGGCAACACCCGCCCGCAAAACCAAAATGGTTCTAGAATGATCATCACCCGAAGGAGAAATCCCAGGACCACGGATTCACACAAGCTTACTGGCCGCCGCCCGAAACAAAAAAAAAGCCAAAAGGACGCAGCAACGAACTCAAAGCCGTGGCAATGACTCGATCGAGATCATTCCTACGAAAATCTGTCAAGCCCGGATGGAAGAGGTCGCGTTACTGCAACCCTGTTCCTCAAGGATAACCGCAGTGCGCTTCGAGGCTCGAAGGAATTGAAGAGAGGTCCGACGCTTCTGTTAGACGGCGTTGGCAGCCGGCTCACGATGATCAGTAGACGAAGCAGCGATGAAAGGCGGACGCGATACATTGCCCGAAAATCAGATTCCAGAGGCCCCCCGGCAGGATCCTCTGGGGGGGGGTGTTGGAGAGCGCTCTCGGACCTCCTGGGGGGCTGGAAGGCGCCAGCAGCTGCCCAGCGAAGATCCGCGGACAAAGGCTGCAGCCGCAGACATGCGCTCGTGATGCCCCCCATCACCTGTCATGGTGTCGTGTCCAGAACGCTCGCAACGCCGATGGGCTTGCCGCTCGTCGCGAGGCGGGGTGCGACCCTGGGAATCGCCTTGCTCGACGTGTTCCGGCGCCAACCACAGCGCGCCCACCTCGCCACCAGTCGCCGGCGTCGCGGCAGTCAGCGGCCGCCCTGGCCCGGGCAGGCTCGCAGGAGCCGCTCGCTCCACGGGTACCATCGGCGCCACGCCCCGCGTCCACGAGCCTCCTCACTGCCGTAGGCATGTATTTTACAAGGGTCATCCTATCGTCGCTTTGGGCCATGTCGGTCTTGACGTGCCCTCCTGGAACACCTTGGATACCTTCGCAGGCGGGGAAAAAGTGTCGGCGGCCTCCACGAGCGAATATCCATTGGCCCTCGTGCGGGGCTCCTGGAGCTCTTCGGATTCATGGATCTGACCGTCGCACCTGCCCTGAGGAGACCTTCCAAGAGCCCGACCATCGTCGCCAACGAGATGCTCCCGAGCCTGACGGGCTGCGCCTGGCTCTCGCGAAATTCGCTGGTGGCCTCTGTCCACGCCTTCACGCGCTGCTGGGACATCAGCGCGGGCTCGATCGTGGCCTGGGCAATCTGAAGGGGCCCCAGGACACACAAATAAATGCACACAAGTAAAACTATCCCCTATATTTTTTGTTCCTATTTTCTGGGTTTTTGTCTTCCCCCCCACTTCCCATCTTTTCCCATGCTTTCTGGGGCATCGCCGGTGAATTGTGTCTGTGTGTGGTTCTTTCCCTCCCGACAATCACGGCGAACGGGGCCCGCGCTCCGATCTGCCTGCGCTTGGGGGATACGCTTATCTCGGGGATGGACAGACCCCCCTTTAGTCAAACGTGGTTTAGTGAAAACGACCCGAGGCCCAAACCTGGCGGGCGCAAGCCTGGAAAATAGCGGCCACGGCGCCCTCTCGAGAACCGAAAACGGACAACTCACTAATCGACGTGTCACTGTTGGGGGTTCTGTCCATCCCCGATTATCAGTTCCGCGAGTACGATGGGGCACAAGTTGTGGATCATCTCGATGTCCATCCCCCCAGGTCGTCGAGCTCCTTCTCGGGGGGAAAGTCTTAGGGTCGGGCATGCCGTCGCGAAGTTCGCCGTTGCCTCCGCTTGGCGCGAAGGTCGCCGGCGGACGTGACTCCGCGCGTCGGGGCGGCCGACGTCGACGCTTCCGGCGCAGCGCGGAGCATTCCACAGAGACTGCGGCCTCGGCGAAGGCTAGTGGATGACGACTTGCGTCTGATGGTCCTCGAGCCCATCAGCCTGCCGTGAGCAACAATGTTGAGGTGGAGGTGGAGGTGGACGGGGAGGAGGAGGAGGAGGAGGAGGAGGAGGAGGAGGAGGAGGAGGAGGAGGAGGAGGGGAGGGGGAGGAGGAGGAGGAGGAGGAGGAGGAGGAGGAGGGAGGGAGGAGGGAGGAGGTGGAGGAGGAGGAGAAGGAGGAGGATGGAGGAGGGAGGATGGAGGAGGGAGGATGGAAGAGGAGGAGGAAGAGGAGGGGGAGGAGGAGGAGGAGGAGGAGGAGGAGGAGGAGGAGGAGGAGGAGGAGGATGGAGGCGTGCCGGCTCCGATGATCTCGCAGCTGCGGGCCGACCGGCCCGCCGAGGGCCTCGTCGCGCCGGGGGGGGCGCGGCAGAGATGCCGACCGGCGTGCCGTCGAGGCCGGAACGACGCGTGGCCTGGCGATGCAGGCGCGACGCGGGGTGCGGTGATGGCATTTTTGTCTCTCGTCGGGGGGCAAAGTGCCCGTGTCAAACAAAAATGCATGCGAGTCTGCGCTGCGCACGCACGGCAGCCGCAGCGGCCGCCCTCGACGTGCGAGCCGCCGCCCCGCGGGCCCGCGCCTCCGCGGCCGTGGCGAAAGTGTAGGCCGCGGCCACCGCCTCGGCTGGCGGCAGGATGAGGACGCCGTCTGCTGCGCTGGCGCTCGATGGTGGTGGTGGTGGTGGTGGTGGTGGTGGTGGTGGTGGTGGTGGTGGTGGTGGAAGGGAGATGTCGGCTGGGGAGCCTCCCTTCGCCTCTCCATCAGCACTCAGGCCCTGGCCCCCGACCCGAACCCCAGAGCAGTATACGTGGAGACCTGGAGGAATTAGGCGGGGAGGCCCCAGTTACTACCAGAACCCCGTACTGGGGAACTCGGGCATAGACCTTGTTCCATGATGGCGCATCATCGGGACATCGACCCTTGCGACGCCCGTCCTGGAAGAACATGCCGATGATAGAGGCACGAGTAAGAAATCTGATATTGGCACCTTCAGAACAAAAGCGCAAACACGATCATGTGCATACACGCACACACAACACACAGACACATGACATGTGCCACATGACATGCGCACACACACATGACATGCGAACCCTGCGCACACCCCACAGGAACACTCCGTTATCTGCCGCTCCCGACGCAGAAAGACCTTTGGACCACCCCACCCTCCCCCTGGCCCACCCCCCACCCCTCGAGCAATGGAGAGAGCGAAGAGGAGAGGCCATGCCTCAGCCCAGCCCCGAGCTACAACGTGAATGCGAGAAGGTGGGACAGAAGTTGAAATCGGGCCCCGAGCACGCTGCCACACTATCGCCCCCCGCCCCCGCCCGCCAGGAAAGGGGGCCCACTCCCTTAGAGATGGTGCAAGACCATCTCCTGGCGCAGGGGGAGTGGGCTCCACGTCGTCAGGGTGCAAGACCCCCACTCCCTGGGGGGCGGTGCAAGACCACCACCAGGCGCAATGGAGTGATCAGAAGGCGACGACGCCCCAGCGGACAGACCACCCGAGCACACTCCCCACCGGTCAGACCACCCTGCGGACAGACCACCCAAGGAAACCTTCGAAAAGGAATCCAGGGTCTGGCAGCCCGTGGAACGCCAATCGTAGGTTGGCCACGGATATTACCGCCGCCCTCCTCAGATAAGGAACCCTCCAAAGTCTGGAGCCTCCTAGGCACGTTCCTTAACCAACGTCCCCACCGAATGTTCATCAGCGCGTTGTCCTCCCAACGCGTTCTGCCGATGGGTCAGCAGCGCGCGGCGGCTCCGAAAGCGTCGGCCGCGCGGGGGGCCGTCGGAGTCAAGACGCAAGCAGTCATGATCTCCGTCAGCAGCATCACCGTCTCCCATAGGGACAGAAGCAGGCTCGGGGTCCAGGGGCCCTTCGGCGTTGCCTTTCGGCTCTCAGCTCTGCCATCTGCATCTTCATGCAATCTCGACGGCAATCTGCGCCTCGAAATGCTGTGAGATCATCGCCATTGACCAGCACTAGAAGTGCACGACACGCTTCAATAACCTGAAGGGGTTCCGCATCCAAGGCACACTGCCAAGACCGTGGGCACGTGAGTGACGTGCTAGTTTCGGCCAGTGCTGACGGGGCGCAGCCGCGGACAGCAGGCGCCTTCCAAGACGCTGCGCGCGCGCTTCAAGCGTCGCTGCGACGCGATGGAGCATCTTCCACGCCGGCATCCTTGTAGGAATATGAGACATCTGTGTTGCGCGGCCCTTCTCGTGCGAACTCTCGGCTGGTCGTGGATTCGCCGCCAGGCTATGCCTTATGGCACTCGATGCACGTGGAGTCCATCGCCGCGGTGTGAGCACCACTGAAATGAAAACAAATGAAGACAGACCGGCCACCGCCGCTCCAATGACGCTGCTCCGGAATTTTGTGGCCCCCGGAAACGGCAGGGCCGTTTTTTCACCGTTTCCAAAAAATGTCCATTGAAAAATGGAAACAGCAAAAAAACGGCGACCGGAAACGGTAAAAAAACGGCTCCAGGATCGGAGCTGGAGCCGGAACCGGTCAAAAAACGGCGACGGAACCGGTAAAAAAACGGCGTCGGAACCGCCCAAAAAACGGCAAAACGGAACCTGTAAAAAAACGGATCTGTCGTTTCCAGGGCCCACTGAGCTCCGGAACGCTGGTTTCTTGCGCCGCCAGGGAGCGTCCGAGCTCCGGAGACGCCCCGTCCGCGCCAGCCTTGCGTCGCTGCTCTCCGCCTGGCCCCCGCTCCGGGCCGCCGCCGCCGGCTGGCATCAACGGGCGCCCCCATGGATGGCGTCACATGGGCCACTCTGCCAAGGCGCGGACGCTCTTAGGGGGCCACTGGCGAACCCTACCCCTACCCCCCTCAGAAATCGTGGGGGGTAGGGGTAGGGTTCGCCTGTGGCCCCCTAACTCTGGACCGCGAAAAGTCGCGCGAACTGAACGATGGGCCCGGACACCCGCGAGGCGAAGAACGAGTTGCTCCGGGCTCGTCTTGCGCAACACCGCGGACAACCAACTCTGCAAACTAAATTCGATCGGAGTCCCAATGACTTAAAAGCGGTGGCGCGGATTGCATACCTGAGCGCAACGCTCGGGTCGGCTGCGAGATTGTTTCTAGGAGCACAAGAACTGAGGAAGTATTTCTTTGAAATTGACCACGAGTCGCCGCGCAAAATTTGGCTTGACTGCGCAGGTCGGCGATGATATTCCCGTTGTCTGCTAGATACTGACGGCGGATGGCCCCGTCCAGCGTGTCGATATATGTCGAAACGAAGGCATTCGTCATGCCGTGTCTTCCCATCGATGGTCGCGATGCCGCTGGCCTTCGGTCCCCAATTCAGTACAGCCGTGGCTCGGATAGCTCCCTGTCAAGTGTAATCATGTGCCCGCCCTTCCGGTGTTAAGGAGGTTCGGGGTTTGGGGGCGGGGGGGACACCAACTGCGGGCAAATGCGTTTGGAGTTAAGATTGCGATGATGGTGACGCGCCCTCGAGTCAGCGGCGGTGCGTAATGACGATGTTGCGCTGCGATGTAATGTCACTGCCGTTCACGCTTTTGATCTCACTCGATCGACCCCACTATCGACCTCGCACCCATGTTTACGTAGTACCCATTGATTCAGTGATCGAGCGATATCACGATTTCTCAATCGATCGCACTATCGATCTCGCAAACAGTGTTTCAATTAACACAAATGTCGACCTTAGTTTTGATCTCACGATCCATTCCATTCTAGCAATCTCATTATTGATCCCACTGTCGACTTCATTATCAATTCCAAAGGCGGGACACCCCCGGCCTACGCCCGCCCACCGCCGACGGAACACCGACGGGACGCCAACGGAAAACCAACGGGACACCACAGGACACCACGGCGGGACACCCCGGGCCACCGCGCGCCCATTGGGGACGGAGGGGCGGTCCCCTGCATCCGAAACGCCCTAGCGACGGCGGGGCCATTTCTCTCTCGCACCCACGCAGCTGCGCCTCGCCCACCCGCGTGACACAAACACAAGACCCAAACCGATTTCCCGGTGGGGCTCTCCGTCCCAGTGCGATCTCACCTCCCAACCTCTGGTTTATGAGCAAGTACGGGAGACGCTGGGTGGCCCACAAAGTCGGTTTCCATAACTTTCAAAGGCTCTTTAGGGGGGCTCTCTTGACTGCCATTTTCATTGGTTCCGCGAGGCTGAGGATCGCGTTGCATGCAAGGGCTGTTGCTGTTGACCAGTCTCGGGGGCGGGGCGTGCCGCGTGAATCCACATTTTGCCGAAGGAGCACGTGGCATGGAGAAAAACCGGGTGCTGTGGACGCGCGACTTGCCATTGAACTTTGGTCGTGGGCCCCATCGAAATATTTTCAGCAGTGGAGCCTTCGTATTTTGGCCACTCGGTGATGCACCCACTCCTCCCTCAGGCCACCAACTGACACTGGGGCTGTGGCGCCCGGAGCAGCTTCCCCATAGGTCGGCGCACCCCGGATCGTGAGCAACAGGGACCCACAATCTGCCAGGACAATTCTTTTTCTGATTCGCCTGTCGAGAGCGCACATCTTCCGGTCGAAGCTACGCGGGCCGCGCAGAGCTTGAACGCAGAGAAGGGGGAGGCGAAGGGGGGCGCAGCCTCAGAACGAGGCCGGGAGGAGGCACAGTCTGCTGGGACAGACCAGGGACCGCGGCGCCACGACGTGTGGGCCCTGCTCAGACCTTCCGTCGCATCGAGCAGAAGGGACGCCGACGTGCTGGCACATGCGGTGGACGGTGCTTGTGAAGTCGGTCTGGCCAATGAGACATGCCATCGGGCCGCCCTTTCTGCGTGTCCAGCGTGAGGTCCTCGATTCATGCCTGCATGCGTGGTAGAAGATCAGGTGAGCTGTTCTAGTTGCGTTTCCTCGGCCCCACTCCGCGACAGGCACGCAATCTGCAAATCCGCCCCCCTCTATTGTTTCGCCGTTGGGTTGTACCTTCTCCTGTTCAGTTATCAGCGGTCACCTTCTCGATGGAACTGGGCCCGAAAAAACTTGCACTGCTTCGTCGCTCTCGTAAGCTGGCATTCGCCGCAACTCGCCAGAGGGCGGGGAGGAAGAGGAGGAGGAGGAGGAGGAGGAGGAGGAAGAGCAGCAAGGAGAGGGCGGGGCGGGGAGGATGAGGAAGGGAAGGGCGAGGATGAAGGGGGCAGGGAGGAGGAGAGAGGGAGGACGAGGACTCCGACGACCACGACGACGACCCCCCCCCCCGGCGCGAGGCCCGCTGCGCGGCCTGCCCGTCCCCCGCAGGTCCGCCGCGGCCGTCGTCGTCGTCGTCGTCGCTGTCGAGCTCCGTGGGCGCGGCCGCGGGGCTGCTGCGAGCGCCTCGCGGGGCCAGGGCAGCACGCCGAGGAGGGGCGGGGGCAGGAGGGGCTCGAGCCGTGACGGCCGACTCCGTCGTCGGCGAGCGAGGGGGGAGATGAGAAGGAGACGGCCTTCTCGGAAGGCCGCGGGGCTTCTCGGAAGCACTCGCGCCTTCTGAGGGGTTCTCTTTGTCTTCGGGGGGAGGCTTAGAAGACTTCTCGGAAGGCCAGGGGGCTTCCGAGCCTTCGGAGAAGGCCTTCTCCTTCTCACTTCCCCCTCTCGCTCGCCGCCGGATCAAAGGCCCCGTCGTGCTGTTCAGGAGCCAGCTTCGCAGTCGTAAGCTTCAGGCCGGTGCCCAGGCCTGGCACGCATAGCCACGGACAAGAGCACGAACAGTCCGGCGCACAACGGTGGGGTGCTTCATTGCAAAGGCGACGATGAAGACAGCATCGTCACGTCTGTTCACGTCTGCATCACCGTCGCGTCGTAGTGTGATCCCGCTTCCCATCAAAGGGGGGAAGCCAAGTCAAGCCAAGTGCGCTCGCGCCGACGTTTTTGCTACCCGCGGGCGCGCGCCATGGCTGACCTGAAACTCCGCTACCCCAGCAGAGCACTCTGAGAGGAGGCAGGGAAGGGGAAGGGGGAAGGACTGAGAGCAGCAAGGCGACCGGCTACGTCGGGGCCGTGTTGCTGTTCTTGTCGGGCGCGGTCCTAGCCGCAGGACGCTGGCCGCGTTCTCTGACGCGACGGGCCAGTGAGGACCGCATGTCGAAGGACAGCAGCGCAGGCGAGGAGGCCAGTCCACGTCCGCGGGGCGGCGCGGGCGGGACGGTGGGAGGAGCACAGGGCTTGAGCCCGTCCAGCGCAGCCGCGCGGGCCATGCTGTGGGTGTCATAGATGTGGTCGTGGGAGGTCTTGACACCTCACGACGAGGGCTTGGGTTCACGCGGCTCGAGGACGGGAGGGGACAGGGTGGCCGCAGAGGGAGAGGAGGAGGGAGGAACAAGGCGGAGGAATAGGAGGAGGAGGTGGGGGAGGAGGAGGAGGAGGAGGAGGAGGAGGAGGAGGAGGAGGAGGAGGAGGAGGAGGAGGAGGAGGAGGACGAAGAGGAGGAGAAGGAGGAGGAGGAGGACGAAGAGGAGGAGAAGGAGGAGGAGGAGGAGGAGGGGAAGAGGAGGATGAGGAGGAGAAAAAAGAGAAGGAGGAGGACCAATGTAAATTCAAGGGTCATCAACGATGTGCGAGTGAATGCACTCAGGGCCTTCACATCTCCCTGGGCAGGACTGTACTGGACCGCTCTGTCGTCCTACTCGGCGTGCCCTGGGCGGCCCAGCGTTCCGGCGCGGGTGCGCTCTCTTGGGCAGAGGGGGCCTTATGCAGCGCAATAGGCTGCATCTGGCCACCCCGTCGCAGGCTGAACAAGCGCAGGGAAAACCGCCCTCCTCTTGCATTCTGTCGTTGCTGCAGCCATCGCGCCATCAGATGGAACACAGAATAAGGGACGAAGGGGCCCTCTGGCCACAGCGGGCCGGGGCCACAACACACACGCGCTCCAGGACATAAACCTAGGGAGCGGGCCGACAACCCGAGCCCTCCTGAGGTCAAAGCGGTCACTGTTTCAGCGTCTTGACTGTATCGTTTACCGCGCTATTTGGGCCTAGTTTGGAGTTGTTTGCGTTGCCTGGCTGCTGCTGCGGCTGCTGCTGCTGCTGGGAGCGGGAGGGGATGTCTCGAGAGGTTGAGGCTTGCGTTGGCGTGCTTGGCTTCTACTCGGGCCTCCTACTGATGTTACTGCACCTGGCCGAGCTGTCCCTGCACTACCCTCACTACGTGGGGCCTCGGTGCCAGGTCGAACTGCATCGCCCCGGCCTGCTTTGTGGCGCTGCCTTGACATCGGTGCAGCCTTTACCCTCCTCCTCGCCACTGCTTTCTCCCTCGGGCAGCGCTGCCCGCAGCCATGCTGTGGCCCTCACGCTGCACTCCACGAGGCGCTGACCGTCGCCTTGCACTGTGCCGTCGTGCGCCCTGCTGCTGCTGGAGATCTCGCCCGTCGCCGCGCCGCCCCGAAGTGTCAGCAGCACGCCGGGAGCAACTGCGTTGGTGGTCGCCCGCGGGCCCATGCCTGCCCGCGCCCTCCACAACCGCCGCCGCCACGTGCAACCACGGAGGCGCAGGGCCGTGCTCTGCTGCCGCGGTGGCTCGCCGCCCAGCGCCTCCTGCGCAGTCCGGCGCGCTGGCACGAGAGAAGAGTCGAGCATCGTTGGGCCAGCCTCTCGCAGACCCGCGCCAGGGCAAAGCGTGCATTCCTGAAGCGGCGCAAGTTCTGCTCTGGGCCCACCGTCGTTTGGCCCGCGCTCGTGACCCTTGCACTTCGCCTGCGTCCTCGGCAGCTGTCCCGCTCCGTCTGCGTTGATCCGACAGTCGCATGGTGTCGCACGCTGCTGCCACCGATCTCGCCGCCACTGACATCGCCGCCCAGATCCAATGACATCGTAGCCTCCGTAGATGCGAAGAAAAGTGAAGGAGGCGAGGAGGGGATAATTCGGCAGTCTGCGAGGCTCGAAGGAAAATTGGAATTGGAGCGAGTCCGTCGCAGGCGCCAATGTTTCACATGTCACAACGAGCCCACCCTAAGCTCCGAACGTTTGTCAAAGCAACGTGAGTGTGTCGTGGGTGGGTCGCGGGCAGGTCGCAGGTGGGTCGCGGGTGACTCGCGGGTGGGTCGCAGATGTGTCGCGGGCGCGTCGTGGGTGGGTCTCGGGCGGGCCGCGGACAAGGACGACGACAGCAACGCAAGAACAAGAATCCACACCGCGGAAATCCACTTCAACCACGCACCCAGGGACAGTGAAGATAATTCGGCCCCCTCACCTTAATATGTGCATCGGTCCATGTGCCAATTCTGAAATAGTCCGAAGGCAGAAAAACGGATTCATCTGGAGCCAGTTGGCTACACATAGAGGATCGCGTAGTACGCTCTCAGCGCTTTCCTGAGCTGGGTGTCTCCATGCTGGTCTAACTGCCTGGCATACCCCGCCCCCTCTCGTGGCTGCCATGTATGCCGCCGCAACGCGTTGCGGCGATCCTTGAATGTTGACCGACATCGCAGGCATTCGCTTGTCAGCACCTCTAGACCAACTGGTGTTCCCTCTCCGGGCTCGATGAGGCCACCCAAAAGGCCTCTGTGAGAATCTGTGTTGGCCACTTCGGGGGTGCAAGGCTCCACCAGGTCATCCTCCCCTGCTGTGGGGCTGAGTTCCGCGTTTTCTGGCTGTGGCGGCATGGCCACTGTTTGATTGATGCTTCGGGGGGGGGGCGGGCGACGTCGAACTGGCAAAACTACTTGGCGCCCCCGAGAAGACATCTATGGACAGTGGTTCTCCTGTACACCATCAATTATCCTGCCATACGTTTCGCGCAAGTGGTCAGTGTCTGAGGACACTTGGTGTGCCCAACGGGCCGAATCCTCACCAAGCCAACCGCATGGTTGTCGCTCAATCTCTGGGTGCTTGTCCAGCCAGATGCGTCCCATCAAAAGCTTCCGTGACTGGCACCGACGTGTGTGGAAGTGCCGCCAGCCTATGACGCCGTTTGACTCGTCGCGCGATCAAACTTTCCAGACAGGGAAGGCTGCCACAATCCTGCCAGACTTCGACCTCGCTCCAGGTCTGTGTTTGAGACATGTTTGTATGCCACTCATCCACTCGAACTTGGTAAGAGTCTGGCCAATGTGATGTCAAAGATGCGGCACTGCTTGTCCGTCAGGGCGAAGGCCTCGAGCGCCGACAGGATCGTAGTTGCAATTCAAGGCCAGAGTTTCCGTGGGACAGTGGACGCGCAGCGATTCGCATACCGCCCGAGGGCCATGGACGCGCCCCGAGAGACGGCCACATGCTGCCCCGCGGTGGGTGCCATTTTGACTACCTACCAGACCACCCCAACCCAACCCGAAGACCCCAATTTCGGGTTGGGGGGGGGTACGGGTTCCATATGTGTTTTTGTCAATGTTCCCCGACCCCCCCCCCAACTGGAAATGGAGGGCAAATTGAGGCCTTCGGGTTGGGTTGGGGTGGTTTGATGGGTGGTGCCATTTGTAACCGTGGGCCGAAGAACGGGCGAAAACGGCCTGCTGCTGCGTTTGGAAGGGGCGGATGGGGAGAAGGCGACAGACAGAGCACATGCCGCCACGCGCCACGGCTGGCACATCGCTCGACGTCGCACCAGTCACGACTTCTATTGCGGAGCAGGGCCGAGGTGCATCGCGACTGTCAAACCTGACGGCCATAGTCATCCTTTTCTTTCCATGGCACCCGTTGGATGAAGGCTCGAACTCGAAATAGGCCAAATCTCTAAAAACAAAAAAAACGGCCGGGTTAACGTCACCTCAAACGGGACATAGTCATCCTCGAAGGTCTGGATGTCAGGATTGGACGCGTAAAGTGGGTACGTACGGGAAAATGGGCACGATGCCCACAGCAACCGTTGTCCAAGGTCGACAGCGACCGCTGTTGAGCAGGCGGCTGTCAGCCTGATTAACGGGGACAGGGACTGCTGTCGGTCTCGGCGGCGAGCCTGGAAGGAAGTGGGAAGGGGCGGGCCTTCTCAGAAGGCACGGAAGTCCCCGGGCCTGCTGAAAGGCACAGAAAACTTCTCAGACTGCGCGAGGGCTGCTGAGCAGTCCCGCCGCCTTCTGAGAAAACCCTCTACTTCTCACTTCCCCCTCAGGCGCGCCGCCGAGTTCGGCTTTTGGCTCATAACTCGGGCCTCCGGCGGCCACTCG